AGTGTCTGCCCCTGGGAGGCTGAGGCAGGAGGATCACCTCCAGTTCAAGACCAAGGTCAGCCTGGGCTGCTGCCGCAGTGACAACCAGGGGCTGATGAGAGGGCTCAGCAGGGAAAGGTGCTTGCCGAAAAGCCTGATGAACTGAGTTCAATCCCCAATCCCTACATGGTGAAATGACAGAACCAACCCTTGTAAAGAGTACTGTTTTTCTGACCGCCGCCTGGTCTTGTCCCGCCGCCGCGCCAGCCCCAATTAACACACAGAGACTCTGTATTAGATATAATCCTGTTGGCCTGTTACTAGTTTCTTATCAGTAGCTCTATCTTAATTATTAACCCATTTCTATGTATTTCCACGTGGTCTTACCGAGAGCGGAGGAATGGCGGTTCTGTTCTCTCCAGACTCTCCATCTTGACTCTCCTTACTACTTCCTCTTTCCTCCTTGTCTCCTAGTCCCTCCTATCTTCCTTTCCTATTGGCCAACAGTGCTTTATTCACTAACCAGTATGAGAAACATATACAGAATGGCATCTCCCATCAAACCCTTTAAGTTGTCCCCTGACCTCTACATGTACCCTGTGGATGTGTGTGACCCAAAAATAAATAAATAAATGTAATTTAAATTGAAAAAAATTAAAACAGACACACAAACAGCTGAAGAAGGTGTGTGCCTTTAATCCCAGCAGCTGCGAGGCAGAATCAGGAAGATGTCTGAGTTCAAGGCCAGGCTCCTCTACATAGTGACAGGACCGCTGGGTCCATGTGGAGAGACACTGTCTCAAAACAAAACGAAACTGTTGACCAGGAGGAGGCTCTGCTGACAGGGGCACATGACAGGGCAGAGAGCTTGCATGGAGATGGGATCCCCTCTGTTGTCCGGAACCAGCTACAGGAGATCCTGGCTCGGCGTCCTGCCCTTTCTGTGTTGACTTTTCTATCTGCCTCTGATCCCCTGAGGAGCAGCCTGGAAACCCCTGTGCTGTAGTTACTTTTCTCTTGGTCATGAAAAGGCACGGCTTGCAGCTGGAGACATGGCTCAGAGGGAGCGTGCTGGTCTGTTGTGCTGAAGGCCTTAGGCTTAGTCCCCAGAACCGGGCAGTGGGTGACTCCACAGTGCTGGCAGACTGTGCTGGAGCCTCATCGCCTCTCCTCAGTGGCGCAGAATGCAGAGAGCCGGGCCAGGGTTAAACCCCCCACTCCATTGATCCATTTCACCACACCAGACCCCGCCTCCTACGGACGCCCCCATGACTTAGCCAGGCAGAGTGGCATCGCGGTGGCACCTGTCCTTAACCTCAGCATTCAGGAGGCAGAAGACCTGGTCCATCCAGAGGGTTCCAGGCCATTGAGAGATAGAGAGGCCCTGTCTAAAAACAAAACACCACCATGCCCACAGCTTCCCAAGCAAGCGCCTCCAGGAAGCATTTCACGTTCCTGTCTAGGGTCCGCCTCAGAAACAGCCTAAATCCCTCTCAGCTGCAGCCTGGAGCCCGTGCTACCCCATAGGTGTTAAGTGCGACTGTGTTTATTCCACATTGTAAGGGGCCTGTGTCTCACCAACAAGAGTTCAGCAGTGAGGCGGCCATGGACCTGCCCAGGCCTCTAACTTCAAGGTTCCTCATACAATGTGGAACCCCAGGGTCTGAAGGTAGCAGCTACTTCCTGCTTCAGGAAGCTCTGTTTCTCCTTTCTAGCTCTCAAAGATGCTTAATCGTGCAGCTTATTTTTTTCTGAAATGCTCTTTACTTTTGTTGATAAATAATAGTCAAACCAAAGCATACACATGCTTTTGGTCTACATTTTTACGTATTAGTGTGTGTGTGTGTGTGTGTGTGTGTGTGTGAACCCATGTGTCATGGTGCCAGGTAGAGGTAAGAGGACAACTCTCTCTCTATTTTGTGAGTACCAGGGCTTGAGCAGAAGCCATCAGGCTTGGCAGCTAGTGCCCTTGCCCGCTTCAGCCCTGCCTTTTTTAAATTTTGTTTTGTTTTGTTTGGGGGAGTGCTATGGGTTTTCATATAGCTGAGTCTGGCCTCAAACAAATTATAGAGCTGAGGTTGACCTTGAACTCCTGACTTTCCTGCCGCTAGCTCCCCACCAACGGGCTTACAGGTGGATACGACCATCATAACTCAAGCATGCCTATTTTGAGCGTGCCATACAACAAGAAAGCTGGGACATGTGTTTGCCTAGGTCTCCCATGTGCAATGAAATGCGATAAAATCCTATTGAGCGCTGTTAGAAGTTTTTTCTCCGTAGATTATCTTTCCTATCTTATGATAAGCGAGAATATGGTTATAGAAAGAGCCAAGCAGCCCATCTCCTTTGGTGAGGTATGCAGGAGGATGCAGCCCAGGATAGAGGGTTTGTCTATAGGCATGAGGTCCTTAACTCAAAAAAATAGAATAAGTTTGGGCCTTATTAGTCAGGCATGGTGGAGGGCACCTGTAATTGGGCCTTATTAGTCAGGCATGGTGGAGGGCACCTGTAATTGGGCCTTATTAGTCAGGCATGGTGGAGGGCACCTGTAATTGGGCCTTATTAGTCAGGCATGGTGGAGGGCACCTGTAATTGGGCCTTATTAGTCAGGCATGGTGGAGGGCACCTGTAATTGGGCCTTATTAGTCAGGCATGGTGGAGGGCACCTGTAATCCCAGCGTGTGGGAGGCTGGGGTGGCAAGGTCTTGAGTTCAATGCTAGCCTTATCCTTTGTCCATCAGTGAGATGCTGTCTCAAAAACATAAAAAAATAAAAAATAAAAAACCCCAGGGATTTATGGCTTTTAAATGTATTCTTCTTGATGTTATTTTACAGTTTCCCAGAGGAGAAACTACAGACTCTCAGCTCTCGCACTTCTGTTCATATCAAAAGTCTCGATGAGGTAATTTTTTTACCCAAACCCGCCTACTGCTCCTGGAACAATTCGGTCAGTCTTTGAACCTGGTCACATAAAGTTTTATTAGAAACACACTTGGGGATTTTGGAGCTGGAGTCCGTGACTCTGTGTACTTAAACCGAAACTGGACTTAACTAGCTTGGAGGTCTTAGGCTGACAGAGGAAGCCCGTCCACGAAGAGAAAAATAATCAACTTTTGTTTATACGTTTCACTACACCTGGCCGTGGTGGTTACTGTTGGTGGGGTTAGTTAGAATCACGGTTATTATGCTGCTCTGAACCTCGACATATTGATTATTTATTTTGTATCATTGTATGTAGCCCAGGCTGGCCATGAACCCCACATGTAGATGCCTGTGATTTGAACTCCCGATCACTGGGCCGCTGAAATGGCTCAGCTGGTAAAGGTGTGCTGCCAGACCGAATGATCTGAATCCCACCCACCCTTGGAATGGTAGAAGCAGAGAACCAACTCCTGCAAATTATCCTCTGAATTCCACATAATATGCCGTGGCACACACACACATGCACACACATGCACACACACACACAATATATAAATGTAACAAAGTTTTTGCCTTGTTTGAAACGGAGTCTCCTGCCTGCACCTCCGCAGTGCTGAGCAGGCATATGTCCCCACGCCGTCTTCATGTGGCACCATCGCCAAATCCCGGGCTTCATTCATGCTAATCAAGCACTCTGCCCACTGAGCCACATCCCCAGGCCCCTGAATCTCAATTCTTGGAATCATAAAAGTGACCATATCTCCTCTCTGAAAGTCTGAAATGAGTTTCCACTTGTGAAAGTACTTGTTGGGTTTCTAATGTTCTGAAAGGGGAATTTGGAACTGTCATAAACTCTTAAACTGCTGTGGGCTGGGGACATGGCTAAGCCGGCAGACAGCCTGAGTTTGATCCCAGGACCTATCCATGTTCAGCAAGGAGAGATGTGACTCCCGCAAGTCACCCTCTGTTGGTGGTGTGTACACACCGCGGCAAGCATGTGCTGCCACACCCACTAAATAACAATGTCATTTTTAAAAAACAGTGAAGTGCTGTGAATAGAAAAATAAACATCTGGTTCACCTTGCTGAGGGAAGGCCGCAGAAGGAAGAGTCTCTAGCAAGCACAGGGTGAGATGGCAGAGGAATGCCCTAGGGAAAATGCCTCAGGGCTTAAGCAGGTCACCTGAAGAGAGCAGCAGCAAGTGTAGCAGAGTTCCCTGATGAAGGGAGGGTGTCCCCGTGCAAGGACTTCTGGCCCCCTCCCCCACCCCCACCCTCCATCCTCACCCCTCCCCCAACCCCACCCCACCCTCCCCCAATCCCACCCCCCACCCACACCCACACCCCACCCTCCCCCAATCCCACCCCCACCCCACACCCCTACCTGGAACAGCCTGAAATTCCAAAAGCAGCAGGCAGGGATGGAAACACCTGACTGGGCACGAGCCACACCAGCTGGGGCAGTAAGAAAGGCTCCTCATGATGGGGTGTGACAGAAGCCTTGGGTAATCTTAGGGGAGCTCAAAAGTTGCTAGGATCCTTTAAAGTTGTCCCAAAGCCGGGTGAGGAGAAAATGATAGTCTCCACTCATAATGCAGACAGCAGATACAAACTGTTCCCAAAAGATGACAGTTCCTGGAGAGTGGCTGAGAGCTGTGGGCCGCCAATCTCCGCAGGGGTGGAGTGGGCAGGGGAGGAGTGGGCAGGCACAATACAAGGTCTCCTTTCCGCCCAATTAGGGGAGTATTAGTTTTGCCTCTTTCTCTCTCTCTCTCTCTTTCTCTCTCTCTCTCTCTCTCTCTCTTTCTCTCTCTCATGCTCACACCTGTGCTTACTCACACACACACATGCCATGGCACAGATAAAGAAGTCAGGAACAACTTTGGAGAGTTAGTTTTTTTCTACTTCCACTATGTGGGTCCCAAGGATTAAACTAAGGTTGCCAGTCTTGGTGGCAAGAACCTTCACCAGCTGAGCCATCATGCCAGCCCTCTTGGACTTACACCACATGGTTAAACCTTGGGTGGGTCAGCAACTCTGACTCCCACAGCACCAGAGGGTCACACACAGACATGATCAGGAACGAAGGCTTTAGTGCAGCTAAATACCCAACTTTATTTTGTTTTCTATAAAGGCAATATCAAGTTTTCTTCGTAAAGCCACTCTTCAGAAAACAAACTTCTAGAAATGCATTCTTTATAAAGACAGCAAACGCTATGTACAAACTTAATGGAAGCATTTTAACTCAATGTCTCTCTAGCTTGGCTCTAATTTTAGGAGCAATCTGCTCTCACAGACTTTATTGGAGTTTTTATTAATTCTGAGCAATTAAGGCTATGGAGCCAGATGTGGGGCTCACACCTACAATCCCAGCACACAAAAGGCTGAAGCAAAAGCACTAGGAAAAAGTCAAAACAAGGGGCTGGAGAGATGACTCAGTGGTTAAGAGCACTGGCTGCTCTTCCGGAGAACCCAGGCTCAATTCCTAGCATCTACAAGACAGCTCACAACCATCTGTAACTCCAGTTCCAGGGGATCTGAAACCTCTTCTAGACTCTGCAGGCTCCAGGCACACATGTGGTGTACACACGTACATGCAGGCAAACACCCATACATGTAAAGTAATTTATAAAAGTTTAAATGGCCTGAGTAAAAATAGACACAGCAAATTATCTTAGTGACTTACCATGATAAATTATTGAAATATCATAAGAATAATGTCTAACCCTGGCTGTCCTGGAACTCAGAGATCCTCCTTCAGAGTGTTGGGATTAAAGGCATGTGCCACCACAGCCAGGCTCAACTTCATAATTTAATAGCTATTTTAACACCTATCAGTAATGACTTTTAACTGATTATCCTTACCTCAATAGATGGCATGACACACTTTAAAATTATTAAAGAGATATTGTCATACTTTATTGTCCTTCCTTCCTTCCACAAAGTCTCAGTATGTTACCTTGGCTGGCCTAGAACCCACTATGTAGACCAGGCTGGCCTCAAATTCACAGAGATCCACCTGCCTCTGTCTCCCAAGTGCTAGAATTAAAGGTGTACACTATTACCACCTGGAATTTTGTTTTGTTTTTGTTTTTTTCAAGACAGGGTTTTTCTGTGTAGCTCTGACTGTCCTGGAACTAGATTCATAGACCAGGCTGGCCTCCAACTCAAGGATCCTCCTGCCTCTGCCTCCCAAGTGATGGATTAAAGATCTTGCCACCATGTCCAGAAACTGCCCACATTTAGAAAAAAAAATGAACTAAGGGTATTTACAAGAGCCTTTCAGAGACAAACTTTGGGAGTTTGATGGTTTTGGTTTTGGCATTATCTAGGTAATCCCTGAATCTAAGATTCCTTGGTCTCAGCCCCTGAGTAACTAGGATTACAAGGGCCTTTCACCCTCCTCTGCCCCAATCCAGTTCTCCAATTTGAATAACCACCTGTTATAATTAAAACATATATTAGCAAGCCAAGCTGCGTGTGGATTTCAACAGGTGTCTTCTAAATGCCTGTTTCAAGTGAAGACAGGATTGTCTGAACGCCTCCTCATCTATTACCTGCAGCCAGGCTTCATTGAACAACCTCTATAATAAAAGAATTGAGATCTAAGATCCTCATTTCTCTGTACATCTGGGTTCATAGAATAACACTGGATAGTTCCAAAGTCCAAACATTCACCCAAAGGCTCGTTCCCATGGCAAAGGAGTGATTTCCTCCACCCGTCAGGGCTCTGAGTCTCTCTGGGGACACTGGGGAGAGGGGAGATGTCTTCAGTGCAATCTAGAAGGCCACACTCTGTTCACAGGCCTCCCCAGGTTCCTCCCTCCCTGTAGACGGACCTGGTGTGTGTGTGTGTGTGTGTGTGTGTGTGTGTGTGTGTGAGAGAGAGAGAGAGAGAGAGAGAGAGACGAACACAGTCCAGCTGAACACATTTCAGACTGCACTTGTCTTCAGAAGGAGAAAGAGCGAGCTGCAGGGTGAGAAGCTGTCTCTCCATGACTTTTGTTTGTTTTCCTCAGGGCTGCTCAGAGCAGCCTTCCTGAAAACAAGATGGAGCAAGTGCTGGGTGTTCAGAGCTTGCCAAGGCCACGGTACTCCTGTTCATGTGTTACAAAGCGTCTCGGAGGTCATGATCCACAGTGGATTGCGTGTAAGAGGAGCTGGGGGTGTCGGCTGAGTAGATCTGAAGGAAGTCGCAGTATTGGCAGAGCACAAGAGGGCCCCGGCACGTTCTGAAGAGTTGGGCAATGTACTTTCGGAACTTCTCCCCGAGGAAGAAGTAAATGACCGGGTTGAGGCAGCAGTGAATAAAGGCCAGGGTTTCCGTGGCCTGGATGGCGTAGTCTAGGTACCTCTCCAAGGTGCAGTCCTGGAGGACTTCGAGCTCCACCAGGGTCTCCAGGAAAAGCACCACGTTGTAGGGCGTCCAGAAGCCCAGGAAGAGGACCACCACGGCGAAGATCATCCTGACTGCCCTGTTCTTCTTCTCATTCTTACAGTGTTGCAGGGTCCTGATGATCATGGAGTAACAAAACAGCATGATCCCCAGGGGGATGAGCAGCCCCAGGACATTGATCTCCAGGGAGCTGAGGACTTTCCATGTCGTCGAGTTGACCGAGTACTTGGTTTTGCAGTACGTGTGGTTGTGCTCGGTGTAGCAAGTGCTGAACAGGAGGCCGGGGAGGGAGGCCAGCACAGCCACTGACCACGTGACCAAGCTGGTGATGACCCCATAGGTCAGAGTCCTTGCTTTCAAGGAAAACACGGCGTGCACGATGGCCAGGTATCTATCTATGCTCATGAGCATGATGAAGAAGATTCCACTGTAAAAGCCCACCAAGTACATCCATGACACGATCTTGCACAGACCTAGTCCAAAGACCCACTGGTCGGCAGCGTAGTAGGCCCAGAACGGGAGAGAAAGTACAAAGAGCAGATCGGAGATGGCAAGGTTCAGCAGGTACACGTCGGTCATGGACTTGAGCCTCTTGTATTTGAAGAGCACCAGAACCACAACGGAATTCCCAAACAGACCCAAGAGAAAGACCAGGGAATAAAGAGGAGGCAGGAAGAGCTCCCCAAATGCCTTGATGCCTTCCTTGGTGCAAGGCTTGGGCATGCTTTCGTAGAGATAGTAACTATTGTATGCGTTTTCATCCTGTGTGGTGTCTGCTGCATCCGTGGGGTTCATCTTTGGAATCTACAGGCTCTGGATACAAGCAGAAGAAGCCAGTGAAAAGAACAAGGGAGGAGAGGCCTGTAAGAAAGAAAGCAGCAGACTGCTAAATGCAAGGGATAGCTGCGTATGACGCCGCCCCAAATTGTTACATCCCTGTCCAGAAGGGGTGTCAAGGTCAGAGAAAATCATCTCAGCCTTGGGAGTTGGGCGGATGTGTTCTCATCCCAGACTTCGCCCTCTCTGCGGGGAAGCTCATTTCTCTCATGGGTAGGTGAGGATTATACTCCTCCTTCAAGGTGGTAAGCTTAAAATGGTCCCTGTGGCCAGTGGGATGTCCCAGCAGGTAAAGACACTTGCCACTGAGTCTCACAAGCCGGAGTTTGACTCCTGGGAACCACATAGAAGAAGGGAAACACTGACTCTAAGAAAGCTGTCCTCTGGCACAAGTGTACCCCCTACACACACACACACACACACACACACACACACACTATATATATATATATATATATATATATATATATATATATAAAAGAATAACAGAAAGCTGGGCACAGAGATACTTGCATCTAATTCCAACATTCAGGAGGCAGACAGCTCTGTGAGTCTGAGCCCCGCCTTGTACACACGTAGAGTTCCGGGCCAGTCAGAGCTACATAGACAGACGTTGTCTCAAAAAACAAACAAGGGGCTAGAGATGTGGCTAAGTGGTCAAGAGTTCTGGTTGTTCTTCCAGAAGACCAGGGTTTGAGTCCCAGCTCCTACATGTTGGCTCATAGTCAACTGTAACTCTAGTTTCAGGGCATTTGATGCCCTCTTCTGGCCTCTGTGGGCACCAGGCACAAATATGGTGCCCACACATAAAAGCAGGCAACACAGAGTACATATAAAATTAAATAAACAAAATGAAAAGAAATTAAACAAACCGGGGCAGATGAAATAGTTCGTCAGGTTAGGGTACTTGTTACTATGCCTGTCAACCTAGATTCAATCCCTTGGACCCACAGGATAGAAGGTAAGAGCCAGTGCTCACAGTTGTCATCTGACTTCCCACACTAGCAATGTAGTGTGCTGGACTGCACATGCGCTTGAGCATGCACGCCCCGGCGCGCACGAGCACACACACACACACACACACACACACACACACACACAGGAACTCGCTCTGTAGACCAGGCTGGCCTCGAACTCACAGAGATCCACCTGCCTCTGCCTCCCAAGTGCTGGGGTCAAAGGTATGCGCCACCTAAATATCAATTTTTAAGTTAAAAAAAAAAGGCTTCTGGGCATTGTTGACATATACCTTTAGTTCCAGCACTTGGGACCAGATGCAGGTGGATCTCTGTGTGAGTTCAAGGCCAACCTGGTCTATTGGGTGAGTACCAGGACAGCCAAGGCTACACAGAGAAATTCTTTCAAATAGTAACTAAAGCTTAACAATGAATGGATGAATCGACGCCCTGGCAGTCCCTATTAAATCTTTCTTGTTTTGTCCAGTAATTCGTGTCTAATCTGTCCCCCCCCAAGGCTACTACATCCCTCAAATACTCTAGTATTCCTGTGTGTATGTATATTTGTGCAGTGCAAACAGATGTGTACATCTGTGAGCATGTGTGCAGTCAGGCTGACCAAGGAACCGCCAGGACGTGTCCATCTCCTGCAAGGCTAGGCCTACGGGCATGCGCCACCACACCTGGCTTTTGCTTGCCTGCTAGAGATCTGAACTCAGGCCCTTGTGCATATGCAACAAAACACTTTGTCCATCGAGCCATCTCTGCAGCCCCCACCCTCCAGGGGTTTCCCAAGAGAGATTCTGTTTATTTGTTTTCCTTGGAAAGTCGTACTGAAGACTTGTTGCGTGGCAGGGTCTCCCAAGAAAAGTTTGTCAATGACTACCAACTATATTTTGTCACTATCATTTTACTAGTTAGAATTAAAGGAAAAATCAAAACAGAGGGATGAAGATAGTCTTAGGAGAGCAAACAAAAATGGTTAGCCCAGCATAGTGGCTAATACCTATATGCCAGCACTTGAGAGAGAAGCAAAGGCTGGAAGGTCAGGAGTTCAAATCCCCCTTAGTGACACAGTGAGTTTGAGGCCAGCCTACACTATATCAGACTCTCAAAAATACAAGTGAGGCAAAATCGATGGCTCAGCTAACATAGACATTTGCCATCATGCCTGAGTTTAACCCCCTGGTTCCCCAAGGTAGAAGAAAACAGCCCTCTGTAGATCATCCTCTCACAGCCACATAAACACCCTGGCACACACGTACACACATATACACGCACACACTTAAGACGTGAGTAAATGTAATGACACACATCTTAAGAGAAGATTAGTAAATAGGTAAAGAAATTGCTTACGATTCTGGAATCCCTGTGCGTGTGGCGTTCCTCCGACTTGAAGAACGCGTTGAAGCACAAAAGTTTGCAGCCCTGGTAAACATCCAGGGCTTGGGGGCAGAGCCGAGTCTGTGCGGATACCTGGCTGACCAAGCCTTAGGAGGCGTGCAAGCATGTAGAAAGTGTGTATGCTCCAAGACATAGACCAGCGAGCACCAGCATGGTAAAGAAGCCCGAGTGTGGGGCTGGAGGGACAGCTCAGTGACTAAGATTGCTTGCAGCTGTTGCTGGTGACCTGGGCTCAAATTCTAGCATCCACGTGGTGGCTCACAGCCATCTATAACTAATTCCAAGCGAGTTGAGGCCCTCATCCTATGACCTCCACAGGCAGCAGGCACACTCAGAGGCACCTACACATATGCAGGCAAAATGCTCTTACACATAAAATAAATCTACCAAAACCCTCAATGTTGGGATGGGCCAGGGGGCTAGCTACCTGTCAGTGCTGCTCCCGGACCTGCAACTACACAGCCACAGGCCCTACAAATGTCCCATCTCTACTCACCTTGCTCTTTTGAAAGTGGTCCTGGGAACAGTCTGTGAAGCAGCACAGGTACTTTGAAGGGTATGTGACTTCCTGTGACATAGCAGCTCTTCCCTTACCCACATGAAGCTTCTTGACAAAAAGAAGAAGAAAAGAGAGAGAGAGAGAGAGAAAAAAAAACCCTGAGTGAGTCATTTCCCCAAACTCAAGGGTAGAGAGGTATGGTCCCTTCTGTGGGAAGAGAGAAGATTGAAGAGAAGAGGGAGGCACAGGGCTGCCTGCGATCCCGGCACTTTGGGGAGGCAGAGGCAGGAGGCTCAGGGGCCCAAAGCTATCCTTGGCTACATAGAACATTTAAGGCTACCCTGAGCTACATGTGATCATGCCTCAAAAAAGGAGGGAAGGAGAGAGGAAGGGAAGGCAGGTAGGAATGAAAACTTTTACAGCTTTTTAATTTGTAAAAATGTACTCGGGATGAGTTAGGGAGGTAGAGAATTGGCATTGTGTGGTCAAGGCCCTGGGTTTGATCCCCAGTACCACACAGACACAGCTGTTAAAAAAGAAAAAAAGTAATAAAAACCATTTGTGGAGTTGGAGATTTAGGTCAGTGGTAGAGCGCTTGCTTGCCTAGCAGGGGCAAGGCCCTGGGTTGGATCCTCAGCTCTGGGAGGGTTGGGGGTGAACAAGAAAACGAACCATAAAATGTCCCCTCTAACTGATCACATAGTAGAAGTGCTCTTTTTTGTTGTTGTTGGTTTGTTTTTGTTTTTCAAGACAGGGTAGCCTTGGCTAACCTGGAACTCTCTCTGTTAACCAGTCTGGCCTCAAACTCATAGAGATCCATCTGCCTCTGCCTCCCAAGTACTGTGATTAAACGTGTACACAACCACCCAATCTTCCTTTCATCTTTGGTAAGTGGCCTGTTGGTTATTTCTTCCTTACAAGTATACAAGGCAAGCAGGTCACACTTGGAAAACAGAGGCAGGCAGATCTCTGTGAGTTCAAGGCCAGCCTCATCTACATAGCAAGTTCCAGGACAGCCAGGACTACAAAAAAACAAAACAAAACAAAACAAAACATGCTTCAAAAAACAATAAATAAATATATTTTTTAAGTGCCAGCTAGGCACATGACTGTGTGCGATGGCTTCGGTTCCTGGATACTTTCCAGATTTGACAGGGCCAGAGCAAGAAGATGGAAGAGACTTAAGAAAAAAGATATACATGCAGAGTAGGGCAAAGTCAGCCTAACTGTGCCTGCCTGACCCGCAAGGCAACTTTGTAGACCTCTTTGATTCACTAAGGAGACTGGCTGTCCTGGGTAAGGGGGACAAATTGTAGTGGTAAGACCAATTCCAGTGGTCTGCAAGCTTGTGCTAAACAGATATGCACGGAGGCAAATATCTGCCTGCACGGGCAAAACAAGTTCTGGGATTAAAGGCATGTTCTACTAAACCTGGCTAAAAATAAATAAATCTTTAAAAACAACAACAACAATAAACTAAAAATCAAAAATAGGATTGAGCAGGTAACCATGATGCATTGTGTACATGTATGAAATTGCCTAAATAAAACAAAATAAAATTTAGTAGTAAGTATAAGAATACTGAAAAGAAACAGGAAGCCAGAGAGGGAAGATGGTTCGTCCCAAACCAGAGGGACATAGTTGACCTACAATCCTGCTCTTGACATTTTCACAGCCACTGTAGGCTTGATTTTTGAGAAAGGAGCGGATGAAAAGAGCAAAACTCAATGAGGGAAGAAAAAAAAAAAAAAAAGCCTGCCCCGACCCACCACGCCAGGCCGGTGTCCAACATGGAGCTGTAGCGCCCCCTGTGGACCCAGACTGATTCCAACACCAAAGACTTGAAGATACTTCAGGCTGCCCAGGGGAGCAGCATATCTGAAATAGGAAGCCCACCCCCTCACACCTCCAGGAGGAGCCCCCGGGGACTCTGCGGCACAGCCGCAGTGGCTTAGTTCAGTGGCTAAGCAGCTGCACGTGAGAGAAATCTGCCAGGCAAGGCAGATTAGAGAGAGCTAGGAAAGCATGTAGGGAGGACTTCGGAGAGAGGTTAGCTAGGCGCCTGTTGATTGGCTAATTGGAATAACCGCGGCCTCGGAGCACAGGAAGGGGGGGAGGGGGGCTAGCCCCAGCTGTCTA